TCTTCAATGGGTCCCCCTTTCAGGAGGTCATATCCGCGGCTTTCTAACTACCTTTACGGATTTTTATGTCCAGTCCTTGGCTTCTCATTCTGATGGATTGTATTCCTTTGGTGGTTGCAGTCTGTGGCTGTTCCTCCACAGTAATTCAGTGATTTTAAATAGTATGCTTTCAGGCACCACGGTGGTACACCTGCTCGTTTCACGGGGAGGTTTTCCATTTTTTAATTCCTTTCGGGGCTTTATAAGGGGGTTCCTTGAGTTTGTTCCGTCAGCCTGGTCCCCCAGGATTCGAAGCATACACTACGGTAAGACGAATTCGCATACTAAAGTTATGGTAATTATTACTGAAATGAAATTGAGGATTTTGAAGTAAAACCAATTTTCATGATGTAATAATACTCCATAACTTTATGGAGTCCCACCCTGTATTCCTCCTCTTGCCTCCTCATCCCGGCTGCCTTTAGGCTCCATAAAAGGGGTTTGAGGAAGGGAGATCACACCGTGGCTCTGTCGTCGAGATACGGGTTACGTCACGGTAGGGAGGTAGGGATATTTGAAACTTTTGTTTTTGGGCTACAAAGATGGGTGAAAGGTATTGTATATGCATACTAAAGTTATGGCAAGTATTACATTATGAAAATTGGTTTTACTTCAAAAACCTCAAATTTGTATGACAAAAAATGTATCGGTATTTATCATAATAAACATTGATAATCAAATCTCCATGATTTAGCTAAATTGGACATTAATCATGTTTGGCATCCAACAAAAGTTTGTTACTGGTTTTTATATTGCATAAACATGATTCCATAGACAGAACACTTTGATTTGATTTTGTTGAACGTCCTATCAACATCTAAGGTAATTAAAGGACGTGCCCCCATGTGTGTTGTGCAAGTGCGTATCTATGCTGTTGAACTTGCCTCCTTGTAATAACGCGAAACTGTATAGTGCTATCTCACTGAAACACCATTCAGAAGGCACCAAGCACAGGATTCCGCCCAATTACATTATACTGACAACGGATGAACCAGTTGTTGCCATTCCCCTAAATGCTGAACGTTAATCAGGAATAACAACTACATTCTTTAAGGACTTTGGTAAATCCGGGCCTGGGGACAGAACCCATTGCCTTCATCACCTGGGCGAACGCTCAACACTTGAGCCAGAAGTGGGGTATTACCAAGCAAGGCGATAGGAAATAAAAGGTAGTTAAAAGTATTGCAATGAGCGCAGTAGATTATTTTGGTCGCTTTCGTTTCACCAAATAGAGGACACCAAATAAAATCCCCAATTCTTAAGAGGGATACCGCATTAGTCGCCTCCTACGATACATGCAGTGGGTAACAGCATGTGTATTATTTTCCCAATCGCTCACCTGCATGGGCGAGACAGAATATATAAATGGATTTTTTTGGAAGAAGTTTAAAATATAGACTACCGTTGTAACTGTATAAAAGCAAGTTGACAATGTAGGTTATATTTTAAATTAAAAGTATCACTACGCTTACTTCATATATACCAATATGACATATTTAATATTTAAAATAACAGTCGTTTTATACACTATACACGATCATAATTCTTTTTCAAAATAACATCCGCCTGTGACATAAATCTGTCATTATGTTAGGATATCCACTTCACTCAACCTAGTGTTATGCAGGGAGGTCCACTACGCTAATCAGTTGTAATAATACATTGTAATTAAGCATTGATGCAGTTATCGTTCATTTTTACATATCTACATATGGCGCGATTTAAAAAAAAAAATCAAGTCGGGGCCAGATGTTCACCCCACCGCATTCAATCATAAAGTGTTTCACTGTAAATAGCTGATCACAGCCATGACAACAAGGTTGGCCTTCCCCATGCAAAATATAGCTATGTGTGATGTAGATATGGCCTATGCGTAGTCGCGAGAGGACGATTTCCTCACTGCGGCTGTTCTAACTTTTGCACATGAACCCTACATTAGGTTGAACTGAAAATAACTTATTGTTTCTTTCTTCAGAGCATTTAATTTGCCAATTCGTTTTAATAAAATAAGCTGTTGAAGGTTTAAAATCAGAACCAAACCAAATTACTTCTTTCCCAAGGAAACCTAAGTGTATACAAACTATTTACTTTTCATCGATTATGAATCAATTTTTCAAACATTTAATATTTGGTCTTGTAGGCTCAAATAAAAATGCACAAAATGCCATACTGTTGGAGGAAACAAGAATACACTCATGTGGTCCTGTAGGTGACAAAATGCCATTTCACGCAGCCGTCTTGGTGAAGGCGTGTTCGCCATTAACTGCGCCACCCTAACACCCAAGTCGGAAGTGTGAAGCCCGTCGGTCTCCATGTATGGACGGAAGTACGAAACTCTTATGCGTAATGAAAATACAAAACATATATAGTATAACAAAATATAAACTAATGAAGAATGATTACATCCAAAAATTATTGACTTAATGGCCTAAATTTGTCCTAAATGAGGAACCAAACACAACACTTTGTCGACATATCCGAGATACATTTTCCAAGTAAGCGACAACAGCATATTTTATTATTTGTCTTGAAGTAAAGATTATTAAAAGAATAGTAATGTTGCAGCACAGGACAGCTACCCTGCAGTTTCGGGAACATAATAGCCCTGCTGTGCTGTATCCCACTACGTATCGAAAAAGGCGGCGGTTTGCTTTTTTCTATGTCTTCTGCTAAGAGAACATTTTTGATTTTTATATGTTCTCTCTATTTCCTGAAATCCCTTTATGTTTCGTAGAGACTTGTTTGACATTAACAAACCTTAGGCTTAGTGTTGAGCGTTCGTCAAAGAAGGGAAGGCAATGTAATCTGTCGCCTGGCCGGGACATACGAAAGTCCGGCATTTAGGGTTATCGAAAAAACCGACTTACCCAGTGTCAGTATAATGTGACCAAGTGGACGACTATGCTTGGTGCCTTCGACACGGTGTTTTATTGAGGTATCACTCCTAAAGTCGACGTCAGGTCTGCGCTATCGCAAGGAGGCAAATCCATCAGTGGAGGCACGCCCTTGAATGACCTTAGCTGTTAATAGGACATTGAACAAAATAATACCAAAACCAATCAAAGCATACGGACATTAGAGACATAGCTGATATTCCTAAGATATTTTTCTAAGGTTTTCCAGAGATTCTAATATAAATTAAACTTTATTTATTTGCTTCAAAACAGTTATTAGCTTTGTTATTTGTTGACTCGAATGGAAGCCAACAGCGGGTCTGAATAACACAATAAAGGGTCAATGATGTGCTAGTCATATTAGTAGATCAGGATAGAAATGATAATTGATTTCGTCATGTACTTTAAGAATTCATTTCCTTAACACGCGTCCAGATGTCCAAAAATACATAAGTCTATGAGTTGTTAGTGTCAATTTGTGTGAAGGTCAGTAACCGTATTGCCGCCGGCTACATTACTCAACCATGCAAGTGTAAGAAAAACAGTTTATCTCAGTCTGTGGCCTCGGCCCTGTGTGGCTATCTCGGCTGTTAGACCTAATATGGTGTCATAGTGTTGTGTTTCCTTACAGGAATGCTCTAGGTCTTTGTTGACTGTCTAGATCGATAAAGATAGAAACACTCTATAGGAATGAATTAATTACAGTCTTAGCAAACGCTTGTAACTTACAGACATTCGATTATTTTGTTTACCCCTGAAACCTAACCCTTTGATAAGCGTCCAAGTGATAAGGAAAATAATCCGGTTCTGTCTGAAATGAAAAGTGTGGAATGATGTTTCGTGTCATGTGTATATGGCTTTAAAAGTCTGTGTCAATGTCGAATGGACTTTCGTAATTCGTTGTGCTGATGTAATGCGTGACACTTAAACACGTAATATTTCACTATCACCCATTATATCGACATGCATATATGTGCTTTATTTTCCTATACGTTAGGATTATATAGGTGATGCTATATAAATTCAAATGGAAGTACTAAGGAGCAAAAGCTATGACTGCAATAACCTAAGAAAGACTATATAAGTTGTGGTTCGCTCTGTATGACACCAAGTAGTTAATGCGTCTGACATTCTGCTACCATTAGCCCCCCACCACTGGGACGCGGGTTCGATACCTACGTGGGGCAGTCGCCAGGGAGTGGCCGTAAGTCGGCGGTTTGTCTCCGACTCTCCTCCACCACCAAAACCTGGCACGTCTTTAAAACGACCATAGCAGTTTATAGGAGTAAAACACACGCATACTAAACCGAATGAATCGCTCTGCAGAAGAAATAAATGATATATAATGGAAAACAATATCACAAGCTAAAGGGAACACATATCAAGGTGAAAAATTTAACACAATGTACAATGAATATGAAAACAATATCTGTCCAAAAATGAACAACTTCAAGTAACATTTATGACACACCATACGTGAAGCAAAATAATTTGAAGGACAACAAACCAGGTAATAGGCTAATTAAAACGTGATTAGTATCGTAAGCTTTAACTTTCCTCTTTACAAACGAAAGCACCACATATAAAGCCTGTGACTTTGTACACAACAATACACAAATAGCTCTAACTCTAAATTTTATACTGATGAAACAAAAAAAAGAGAAACCGAGATTATATTCAAACAAGGAACCCTCATTTAACATAGCAGTACTTTGTAAAATTATTGTTTTACGCTGATCAATTAGATTATTAAACCTCGTGTAATACAAATGCTGCGTTTTGTCATAGACTTACATAGCTTGTATATATTCCTTACAGAAAGGCTTATTCCTCAGAGGAGAGCTGAAGCCGAAACACTAACCAACACGATACTGCTAATATCAACACTAAACCATAGTGCTCCTCAGACACTGGCGGACGCGGAAACATCAAATTTGGAGACATGAGAAGCAGGCTGTGAGATTATTGACTAATCAGAAGAGACCATTGGGAGGCCCCGCCTCCCCAAACACAGCACGAAACGCTATCTATATCAAACATTTCTTCATAAGGCAATGGTGACTCTTAGTTAGCAAAATCATCTATTTTCCGTCTCTGAAGTCTCGGATCCACGTGTTCCTTGATTCTGTACTTGAAACACTGTGTATGAAGTTTGATGTTTCTCCATTTTTCACTGGCGTCGTGAAAATGTCCATAGCACGAGGGGTCTACTTTTTAGCTGTGATCTGCGCTCTTGTTTACTGTGAAAGTAAGTATGATTTACAAATTACTTTGTACCATAAATTTATATATTTATCGACATATCCTAATTCTCCGCAAACATTTTATATAATGCTGGTGCCGCAATTTTCTTATTGACCGATAATTGGATGTTGCATTAGGTTTATCCAAAATTTCAAAACAGTAAAATTTAAATTCAGTAAAATGATACTAGAGAAAGTTCAATTATTTCAACTTAACTTGTACACGAATTATTTAATAAAAATGGTCATTGTTGACATTATTTTTGATTATCAACGCCAGGATAAAAAGGGTGTTCGTGCAAGTTCAATAAAGAGAAACAGATACGGATTTATGACTGAGCAATGTATACTTATAGTTCAATCGATTCAATTTAATCGTCTATGAAACATTTTGAGGAAGTGACTGTTTTCTGGAACAAACAAAGTGCGATACACTTGTATGATAGTCGCATCGATCAGAGAATCGAACGGTGTTTCTATGAGAGCCTCTTCTTGTTGTGTTCCTTACATCATATTAACTGACAATTTTGTTCGTGTGCTTCATGAAATTATGATTCCCTTCTATGATTCAGTTAAGACAAAAATGTATAAAACAAAATCCATGTCATTGCTCTCCGATGTAATTGATATTGACGCTAATAAGTTTGTATTTTTATACGTTGCTTATCTCAGTTGAAATTACTTTAATTTTCGTCATAGAGACAAAGAGCTTGCATGCCTATAGTGCTTGTAGTAAACAGTTCATCAAGCCATAAATATCAATTAAATACCAGCTAAGCTACTGGTATATTAATTCACAAAAGTACATATAAATTGCTTTGGAAATATATAAAGTTATTACTGCAGCCTATGCAGAAACAGTGCAATAATTGTTTGATTAAATTGACACGTTACCAAGACATCTAAGATAATTGACAATATCTATTAAAATAGATGGCAAACGCTTAATTACACATACACAGTAGAAGGAAACAGTTTTTGTTACACATGCAATACATTATGACGACACTTTTAATTCAATCCATGTGTGTTGTGTAATCAATTAAGTTGTACCATATAATTATACTTAATTACAAACGGAACATCGAGCTTGAAAATGTATGAGGTTTATTGCAACTCCCTGAAATTTTGTTAGTAACCTTGGTATCTGCGATCGTTCATCAGCAGCTTCGACACAATAATCCAATAATACAATTTGTAAGAATCGTCACTCGAATTAAAAAAACTACTGGTTTCGACATCTTGCGAAGGGCATGAGGTCGAGCGCCGTAATATTATTTTTTCCGTACAAAATTTATTAGTTTCTTTCGGAAACGAATTATTTCAATGACTTTTTGCGTGATTTAAGGCGTCATTGTATCGTCCAATCTTGTATCGTAGGCGACATGTTGGCAACTTAGTGATGTTTCTGTGTGCCATATTGTTTGCTTGTGGTTTAACAGGCTCGCAACATTTAACGTCATATAAGGACATATGTCTAGGGAGGGAGGATCAACCGAAAAGAAAGCGTTTGTAAGGCGGCAAGGGCAAGATACTAATTATGATTATTGTATGACCAATAGTTTAAGGTAGGTTAAAATTGTAGAGACATAAGTTGTTTCGAAAAGAGATGTGAGATCTGTTATATTATAAAAAGATTATCAAAAGATTATCTTGTTGGCTTTAGTTTATGCAATCTATAAACACTTTATTTACTTTAAACGGTTCAAGTTATGCTTCGCATTGAGGCTGGTCTTCGTTTGTCAAGGGAAAAAATGGGAGATGTATCATTGACCAATCCGGAGAAGGGCAATACATAGAGCCCTCATATTGCAATCGGGGCAACATTCTTTGTAGCCATAAAGTTACCTCTAATTCTCGAAATTGAAGCTTTACACCTTCAGATGTAAGATACAATGACGTCGATAACATAGTACTCGTCTGTTATAGTATAGCTTGGCTATTATGTTTTCAAGCTAGTCGTACTTCGCATGGTTTTTTCCGATGGAGTCAACACGTGAACGAAACAACGCCGTGTTTATTTCAGCATTTAATAGTATGTTCTTTGCTTCAAAGTGCTTATTTACTCATATAAATATACAATCTTTAAATTTGTGATGAAATGAAACTTTCCATCAACATATCAGCATATCATTATTAGCATTTTATTATTCGAACTTTTATCCACAACAAAGAAAATTTTACGCAAATGTAAATGTGAACAATAAAAGTGGGTATAGTTGGTCTTTTGGAACAAATCAAACATTTTTCTAGAAAAGAGCGTTAAGAACTGTCATATTTCAAAATTTTGGGGTTGGCTAAGGACAATGAAATCTAATAACAAGTGTTTCACAACAAATTATTAAACTTTAGTATTCATTTTATTAAAAACAATAGAGACAAATCGAAGCATACATGGGATCTGCGTTACTGGCAGCAGGCAAGTACTCCAACATACCGTTTCAAGCACACGTCTTATCTTTTGAATACCACAATATATACCCTGCAAACTAATGTCAATCACTTATTCAGGACCAGAGGCCACATTAAATCTAAAGCATAATGTGCAGTCAAACAAAACAAGAGACAAAACCATATGCTTTTGAAAAATAAGCGTTCCCTGGACCTCACGTTATACCCGTAATAGTGTCTCCTGTTAGATGTTTAAGTCACCAACGATTTCAATCAATGTAAACAGATCTTTCATTATGGTAAACAATGAATCGGTTTGGTTTTTGCTGTGTTGGGTTTAACATCCTATTAACAGCCATTGCCGTTTAGTACTTGTACGTGTATTCTCGAATTGGTATGTTTTGAATTTGCTTCCTTGCGAAAGCGCGGATCTGTTGTCGGCTTTTGAGAGCTACCTCGCTGAGGATTTAACCTTATAATGTAGAAAATCTTACTTAGTGTTTTGATTTACTGAACAAAACTATCCAGAAACAGTTTATGCTATTCATAGCCAGGTACGAACTAATAAATCGGTAATTTCTCTCCATAAGCAACGGATATTGTGATGTTACTATACGGTTTTTTAAAATTTGATAAATCATACGGGTTACATATATAAATATTCAACATTCAGCTCTGAAATACTAATCAATTTTCCTGGCGAACCACTTCGTCTTTCCGGCGTTGTCTCCTTACGTTCCTATCCTCATAACATCCAGGCTGTTGAGAGGACCTTCAACCTCAAACAAACAAGAACTAATGAACTGCAGAAGGAATATGAATTTGATTGCATTGAATTACTGAATGAATAAAATGTCGGATAGGCCCAGATAGAATCAATTGATCGTTATAGGTATTCAAATAACTACTGATCAGTAACATCAAAAGCATGTTGCGATTCTAATAAGAAAGAATATGTGGAAAGAGTATTGATATTTTCTGATTTCACATTTATTCCCCTGTATTGACATATCTATGGATTCCAATGATTGCCAGTGTGGTCGTTGACAGAACTGGAGCATATATTTATCACAACTAAATCTTATGTCAGCCTTTTTCTATCGATCTGTAATATGGTATAGCTTGTGGGTATACATTTGAAACGTTCTTCAAAAGTTGTCAAAGCTGGCATGTAAACAGCAGTTTAAGCTTACAAGCACAGGGAATTAGGTAAGAGGAACGCAACAAAATGCATTGATGGTCGTGAATGAAATAGCGACGGGTATCAAGAGTTGTTTGTTTGGTACATGTAGTTCAATCACAAGGTCATTTGCTGCCTTAAGCTTAAAAAACAGAACTCGAAGACGTTTGACAAATTTAAATAGCGTTCACGTAGTGTAAACGTTTTATTCAATTAGATGCCCTTTCTCTGACTGAACATAATAATAATTGGCAAGAGGACGTAAACAAGGGAACATCGTGTTTTTATACACCCGTCGTCCGACGGGTCGTTTTCTGGTATGGGCTGCGTTGTTCGTCCGTCCGTCCGTTAGCTTTTCCTTGTCGTCATCGCTCTTCTGCCTTCATCATAAACATATCTTGATGAAACTTAGTACACATATTGCATACCAAAATAGCTCGAACGAAAATGCATTTCAGAAGTTTATATGCATTTTTGGTGGTGAATTGACTCTTTTACTGCCAAAAAAGGGTCATTGTGAAGTAAATGCAAGAACTGTTTTTATTGTTCAATCAATTCCTTTATCAATTCCTTTCAAATGTTGTACGGTAATCCTAGAAGCAAATAATGTTCAACATATATTAAGGGTTTGTCTGTCGAGTTTCAACTTTCTTCGTTTGAGCATATACCACTTGACATAGCAACGCTATACTTTATTTTTGTAATTAACTTTTGCTTGTTTACACCAAAACTCAAACAATTGTTCTCCGATTTTTATTGAACTTCTTGATTGTTTCATTACCTGAATGATTTGATAAGTTCTTAAATCGTGAAATTTGAACGCTATTCGGCAGAGCTATGCCCCTTTTTCATTGCCAACTGAGGGCATTATGTCGAAAATGAAAGAACTTTCTAATTATTTGTTGAAGACTCATGTACCTCAAAGACAGGGTTCTAGTTTTAGTAATAGCAACATTGACCACGCTAGTGTCATTCTGAAAAAAAAAAGCTTGCATAAAGACAGTTAATAAATGGCAACGTCACAGTCACCAACAACACAGTGGCAGTAAACACATTTATATCATAATAATAATAATATACAGCATTTATATAGCGCGCTATATAATTTGTAAAATTACTCTAAGGCGCTTTACAACATATGTATAATAGTATTGGTTATAATTGTGAAAACAAACAACAAAGGCTTGCAATCACTTTCATACATTTAACAAGCAATGTGCACATAATTGAACAAATCGAAGGGTGATATTTACATGACGTCTTTGCAAAGATTCTAAAATGCAGACGTGAAGAGGTGAGTTTTTATGTCCCTCTTGAACTTGGCCAGAGTATTCGACTTCCTAATAGCAGATGGTAAGCTATTCCACATAGTAGCCGAAACCCCTCCAAAGCATCTGTTTCCGTAGGTCACAGTACGAGATTTTGGGACACACA